TTTAGTAGCACATCCTGTGCTAAATAGTATAAGTTTATAAACATGTATACGGTGACTTAACAAATTCTTGGTTATAGGAAGTTTTAATCATTTTAAAAAATACACATCTCACGCTTACACATACATAAATAACATCGGTAACGTACAAAATAGAACAGTATTGTTTACTTACTTTTATTTTTATTAAATTTTATTATGTTCACTGTCCTACTGTAGTGTTTTATTACGAAAATCTATATTACATATAAGTGTAGCATTATTTACCTCTCCTGTTTATTTATCTCTTAAACTTTTTTATTCCTATTTGTACTATTAACAAAATATAACTCACAGTTATACTGTATGAATATTTCTAATACTCACAAATCAAAGGTTTAAAGTGTCAGTTTTGTATAATAATAAAACATTTACTCTTGTTATTTGTTGATTTGTTTAAATGTTATATAATTAGCGTATTACATATAAAAACAAATTTTAGTGCCATGCACTGTAAAAGATATAGCAAAGCGCGTTTAAATTAATATTTCTCTCATAGTCCTTCACACTTTAATAAGAACAATACTGTTCATGATAAAATTATGATTTATAATCTTTTAATTATCTAAACTATATTTAATATAAGTGCTTTAAATAATTGCTTTTAATAAACAATTATGTACTTACAAATTGTATCTGAAAAAGACAATTGCTGTGACGTTAAACGAAACATCATAAAGAAAATTGCAAATAAAATGAGAATAGATTCTGCATCATTGTATTTTTTAAGTATTGAATGCAAATACTGTATATAACAATGCGTATTTTATGCTGTATATGTATCTCTACTAGGTAGTTATTTGCATAGCATAAGATACTCTTTCCTCTTTATTAAAATATTTTTTCAAGTTAAAAATACTTCATAACAGTAATTAACATAAAAAAAGTAGATTTTTATCCCATTTAACATGTCTTTATCATTGAGCTCTATTCTTTAGCATATTTGTGGGATCATTTTTTCTGTGGAATACTCTTGGGATAATTTATTAAATCTAAGTCAACACAATTTTACACGATAAGCATTTATGACCTTGTTAGAGGATAAAAAAAGGTTTTTAAATGTAACGAAGTCTATTTTGATGAATGAAGATTATTTTGCAATCAAACTGTTGTTTTCTTTCACCAATACAAAAAACCACAGAACATTCCGCGGGATCTGATATAAGTCATATTTCATTTAAATTATTTAGTATACGCATATGCACGAATATATTTTATATGTATATAATAACAAAATTTGAATATAAAACAATTTTTAAACATTAAAATAAACTTTATATTTGATCAGTATCTTGGGCAAAGGTCTTGATCAAAGGTAATAATTACAATTCTTTGAAACAAATGTAAAAAGTAAATACAAATTTGAATCAAGTTGAAAGAATATCTACCTACTAAAAGAATATCTATTATCCTTCGCAATTATCCTAAATTTTTTGCTGGTATTATTTTATTTAATACAATGGATATCGGCATTTTCATTTAAAATCGTACATATCTGTGCGAAGCTCATTCATTGAACTAAATTTTAAATTCAATAGAACGTGTACAGCGCCGAGCATAATAGGCTTCCTCAGAGAAAATCATATTGTCCCTTCCTCTTTTACAAGTTCTTGAATTTTCGACCCTCCCCCCCGTAGACTTGAGAATTCCTACTTCCCTTGTGACGCTATTTTCCCCACAAAAAGCTACTTTTCTCGATACTGTAGATACATGCAGTCATATCAAATTCACAAAGGTACCTATTCACATATAGATATATCCTTTGGTACTAATAAATTTATTAATTTAATATAAATTTCGAATAATACACTCAAGGCTAATATTATGTACTAAATGTTACTCAATTTTTTTATCAATTTCAGTTTTTGGCTGATCTTCAATAGGTTCTTGCTTCTTATCATTAATCATCTTATTATTAGCTTCCATCTCACCAGAAAAACCAAATTCATTTACCCTAGTGTGATCAATTTTATATATCCATCTTTGGTACAAAAATATGAAGAAAATAATGTCATCACGGAAGCAACCAATTCTGTATAGCGTTGGCATTTTTATAACAAATGCAAAAATATCATCGATAAATGTATTTAAGAATTTGTAGGACATCATACGCCATGGAAGATGCGCAACACTTTTTAATTTATAATTAATAAATAATTGTGGTGTCATCATGATAAAACCAAATGTCAATAAAAATCCATAAAGCATGCTAAGAATCCAAGAATACCATCCCGTATGTTCTAAATACATTAATGAATAAATAGCATATCCTGCAAAAAGAGGATAAAGAGCCCAAGATAAGTACTTAAATGCAAGTCTATCATATTCTTTTGTGGAAGATTCTACATATGATCCTTTATCATGAAAACTTATTGTTGGAAGGATACCAAGTATTTTTGCATTCCTATTAACTCTAATATCTATAACCTTATTAATTTTCCATACTTCTATGCATAAACCTATTGCGCAACTAATCCGAACAACTGTGTTCGTCTCATTATCAAGAACATACAACAAAACAACAAGTGACTGGAAAACATTGAAAAACACAGATCGAACTGACAAACCTTCCAAAGAATTACGATTATTCCAAAATTGAATATCTGAAAATATAAATAAAATAATAGTTTACAATTTATTGTAACTTATAATATGTTTATATAGATTCAGTATCTTACCATTTTTAAATGCCAAAAATTCAAATACACTATGTAATACTGAAACAATTATAGTTAAACCCAAAAAATATGGGTTTGTTTCTAACAATGCTTCTTTTAAAGTGTCTTGATCAGTATCATCTTCATCCGACGAATCTCCTATATAAAGAGTATTATTAAAAATTTGCACATAATTTTAAGAAATTTTATGGATGATGTAATATACCCATTATTGAAGGTGTCCATTTATTTCTCATAGTTTGTGCAGCATAGATTTGCCATTTGAATAATGAAAGAGGTTGATAAATTAATTGAAGCTCAAGTTCTTTTACACTGTCATTTAAAGGTTGATAATCTCTTTGCATATTCCAGAAATCATTCAGATATATTACAGGTTTATAGTATTTTTCGCCCGGTAAAAAATAAATATCTGTTGAAAAAGAACATGCCAATTACAATAATAATGTATAATATTTAATGAACAACTTACAGGTATCTAATGGGGGTGGGACTTGACCATACACCCAATTAGTATGATCAGTTACTAAATTAAGAGTTAAATTCGGGTGCCAATGCGATACATATTCCTGATTCATTATTTCAGCTTTCTGAAATAATAAGCATTTAATATATTTAATTCTACATCAATAAAGTATTACTTTAATGAATTGTAATAAATATATACCTGAATTTCTTCTTTACTCGCAGTAGTTTCACCAGTTAACAAATTATGTCTTTTTTGATACCTAATTTTTTTAAATTTATTTAACATTTTTCTAGAATATGACATATACTCTCCTGCATAATTTTTTCCTGCTTTAGGATTTGGAGATTTTCCATTCTTTGTAACATATACATGGAGGTATATGGATCCATTATTCTTTAATCTATTAGATGGATTAAATTTATAATTTATCAATTTTGATCCATCTTTATTTGGCCCACTATACCAATCTCCATATATTAATCCTTGCTCTAACCATACTAATGGTTGCGGAGAATCAAAATCTTTAAAATTTTCAGATTCTGATAGATAAACATGTAAATCAAATATTGTTCCATTCTCAAATATATTTATAGCTTGTGAACGTGCTGGATTGATAAGATTGAGAGGTTGAGAATTATTATCAGTTTGAACTCGTCTAAATACATAACTGATGAAATAAATAATAAGGGAACGTATAATCAAAGACTTTGTTATTGCAAAAAATGATTCCAAACGTGTAGGCTGATATTTTATCCTTTGTTCATTAATTTCCGCATTTACCTACACAACAAGTACAATAATTATTATTTTAACAAATAATTTCATCAGAATTAAATTTTCATTTAAATATACATGATTTACGAGTAAAACAGGTTGTAGCGACTATTTACACTACACTTGTCGTATTGTTAAATAATTGTAGAGTCGTCATTAATAAACGTAAAAGTGTAGAAGTCGTATATTTGAAAACATTCCAAGTAAATAAATTATGTAAAGAAAAATGTAGAGATAAAATTAAATTCGTTAGTTTCAAAGATACATGAAATGATTGTGACAAGAAAATGAATGATGTAGTAATAAAATACAAGACAATATATAATTAACATACATTTCTTTCTTCGTTATTCTCTGTTGCAACTAATTCTCCATTTTGTTGATTGTTATCCATATTTTCTTTGACATCTACTTCTTTTGGATCTTGATTATCATTTTCAGCACCCACCATCTTTACATTAGAGTTGTTTCGCATATAATTTCTTTACATTCTCAGAGGGCGTTACATGTACCGGATGTTCAAATCACGTGTTTCATGACACTGAACTTGGATTTCCTGTGATTATCCTGTGCAATTATTACTTACATGCAAACATACTCATTTAAAACACTTGTAACAAACATGCTTAACATTTTATATTAAATTTAAATTTATTATAAAAAAAGTTTTAGGACTATTTCTTATTTGGATTTTACAATCACTTATTATTTAAATAATTAAGATTAATTATTTTCAAATCAGTCTAAATCATTTTTAACAACTTTTTCAGACAGTTACAATTTATCTAGCAAAATAACTTTTGTCATTTTTGTAGTTCCAACATGACTAATGTGAAAGGATAAATCAAAGGCTGATTCAAATTGAATATGTATGTATACCGCATTTCACCCGAGTCCATAACTGCGACGCACAGGTTGGAAGATGGTGGGGGAACGCAGCGAGCTCTCTGCTAATCGCTTTCCATTTCGTTTGGGAGTATCGCCAATTAGGGCGAAGATGCGTACTGGAGATGCGCGAAGAACGAAAACTGGTCTTTTCGCAGTTATGGACTCTGGTGAACTGCGGTATACAACAAAATGAATCCCATGTTCAGGTGGGAATGGCGGGAATAATGTGACAAGTTGGAAAAGGTTAGATCACGACTCCGCTTACTGTCAGTTTATTATCATTATAATATTTTTATATCGTATATTCCACTTTTAAATTTAAATTATGTGGTGCACAACTCCTGAAATTTCATGGCATAATCGTGATCCAGTTTTAAGTATTGATATACAAGCTGGAATCTATGAAACGTCAAAAAAAGAAACTTTCTGGCGACTTGCAACTGGCGGCGCCGATTCGCATGTTTTGGTAATATTATAATAATAAATGTATTACATACAATGTAAACCAGTAATTTTAAATCATTCTTTTTGTTATAGATTTGGCATTTAACTTCAAGCGAAAGTGGAGATGTTACAGTAAAATGTGTAGCCGATTTAGAACGACACCAAAGAGCGGTGAACGTAGTACGGTTTTCACCTTCAAAAGATATTTTAGCTTCAGGAGACGATGGTTAGTAATTATATACTGCAATGATTAAATTGAAATTGATAAATAATAAAATTTATGTTTAAACCAGAGTCAACAATTGTCTTATGGAAACAAAAAGAGGACTGTGAATTTTTTATTGCCTCTGATGAAAGTGAGAATAAAGAACAATGGATTTCTTGGAAAGCATTAAGAGGACACCTTGAAGATGTTTATGATATTAGTTGGTCTCCAAATTCTAATATGCTAGTCTCAGGATCTGTAGATAATACAGCAATTTTATGGGATGTTCATAAGGGTCGATCTGTAGCTATATTATCTGACCACAAGGGGTTTGTACAAGGAGTTTCATGGGATCCTTGCAATCAGTACATATGTACCATAAGCACAGACAGGTACAGATATAAAATATTAATGCTATTACTTAAACCTGTAATAATGTTTAACTTATAATATATTTCTAGGATATGTCGTTTGATTGATATTAATACCAAGAAAACAGTGCAAAAAGCTTACAGAGCTAAAATTCCAACTCCATCTGATCATCCTGTAAAAGATAAAACAGTTAGATTATTTTATGATGATACCTTTAAGTCATTTTTCAGAAGATTAACATTTTCCTTAGATGGAATGTTACTTATTGTACCATCTGGCATAATTGAACCTGTGGAGACTACAGAAAAAATATATAATGCAACTGTAATTTTTTCAAGATACAATTTAAAAGAGTAAGTATACTTTGATGAGTTATATCATTTTATAAGTCCAACATATTATTGTTTTTTTCAGACCTCTTATACTCTTACCCACTTTGGATGAATGTACTATTGCAGTTAGATGTTGTCCAATTTATTTTGAATTACGGAAAGATAGTCGAACACCTACAGTAGCATTACCTTACAGAATGGTATTTGCAGTTGCTACACAGCATTCAGTATTCATATATGATACTCAACAAATTTCACCAATTTCGGTTATATCAAATATTCATTACACAAGATTAACTGATGTCACATGGTCAAGTGATGGTAAAATTTTAATTGTGTCATCGACAGATGGTTATTGTTCTATAATACATTTTCAGAAGGGAGAACTAGGTGAAGAGTATAAAAAGGAAAGTAGTACCCCAACAACACATAATGTTAGTAATGATTGTAAACAAACTCAAACATTAAGTAATGATAGTAAAACTGAGGATTATTTACCAACCGTTGATATAGATAACAGTGCTATCGATATTGATATAGAACACGAAATGAAAACTTCCAACAAAGAATCAGATAGTGTACTAAATGAAAATAACAAACTGTTAAATGATAGTACTATTCCAAAACAAGAATTAAATAATAAGGCAGAATTTGAAGAAACTGAAGATGTTAAATTAATTTATACCGAAGAAAGTACTAATGAAGTTGATAAAGTGAATACAAAAATTCTTAGCAAAGCTCCCCGAAGAGTGCAATTAATTACACTTTCTAGCCCCAAAGGATACAAAAAAGATATAACGTAAAAAATGTGATAGAAAGTTATAAAATACATATGCATTTTTCTATCAATTTGTTTTGTATTTTATACCGTTTGTTATTTTAATAAATTTAGATTATCGTTAATATTAACTTTAAGATATATTTTATTATGTAGACACAAAATAAAAACGACGTGTATATATATATATTTCATTAAATATTTCATGTCTTCAAAGTAAAACAAACTTCGTGTATAAGTACGTAACGACTATTGTAAATACTATAGCATCAGCATTATCACCTGCAGAACTTAGAATAGATATTATATACATACGAGTAATAATATGGCGCATCACAGTGATCTCACCGTTCGTTGAGGTAGACAGTAGTCGAATCGTTGTACGTTCTGGCATATATTTTTATTTCTGAAAGACTCAATTAGCAACTATGGTGAGTATTTTATTTAACATATATTTTATAATTGTTATTAAATTTACTGTAATATAACTATAAATTATATTTAAACAATATATTTGCAATTGATTAAAATTAAAATTACTAATTTATAAATGCGTTTTATGAATAAATGAAAAATAGTAATATATTTTAACATAAAACAATGAATTAAACTAAATTGTTATTAGGTAAATAAATATATATTCAAACAGAAACTATTATGCTAATGGTTCATAAATTGCAATGTAATACTATGTTCAAATAATGTGTATAGGCATCATAATTAGAATACGATGGTACCCTCTTAGTGTAATCGACCGATTAAAGAACTGTCTATGTTAAATCATATACGTAAGACGGTACTTGAAGTTAAGGCACATATATGAATACATCAAAGTAGAATAAATATTTTATGAAATATTGAAGGTAAATCGTACCTTACATATTTAAAATTCTAATATCGAATTCTATTTTTTAACACTACATAATAGCGTTTTATTGTTTACTTTTATTATTAAATTTAAAAAGGACGTAGTATATGTTGCGGCCAGATTTAAAAATTTTTTAAATATAAGCCTCTTTATCTATTTCGCAATTAATATATTATAGTCTGCAGTATGTATCATTAAATATCGATTACACTACTTAATTTATATAATATCTATCAATATCTAGAGCTAATATAAGAGCTAATATAAATTGATTTATTCTATTGTTCACCAAATTAATAATCTTTCGAAATCAATTACATTTCGTTCAATGTACTATTTTGAAATAGTTACACATTATGTGTATTGAAACATATAACGAACAACAGGCTTAATTGTAAAACTAATAAGTCATTACGCCTGATGATCATCTTTCTGATGAATCGTAAAATCGTGTCATGCGATGTTCGATCAAGCTGCTATGGTTACAGTATGTCAACCTATTAAAATCGATATTTAGCATCATGCGGCTAAAGAATGCAAAGTATACTGATAAAAGTTTATGACTGATATGCTTTGACCTATAGCGAATTGTCATTGCACCAACTATAAGATTCTTACGACTATAACAATGAAACGAGGGTCTTTTTTTAAGGCACCACTGAATGATTAATAAGAAAAGTAGATGTAAGGTCAAGGTAAAAAGCTTAGAACTTGCTGACAGGTATAAGATCGCTTCATGTCGATAGAAATTCGACATGTCATGTCAGTTTGTAATCACTCCTTGTTGAGTATCCAAGCTTGTTATCCAGGGGAATCTCCTGTTTAAACCATCTCTATGTGTTTCTCTGAAACGAAAATATTTAACTTCAATAACTAACATTCTCTTGTCTATTTTATTAATATTTTTCTTAAAATGTTGAACAAAAAGGAAACACTAAACGTATGCGCGTTTTTCTACCATCGCATAAGTGTATAGATTTATTATTAGTACCGTTTAAAAACGTATAAAAAATAAAAAGATGGCAAAGAAGGTATTATATAACTAGAAGATTAACTTATCTTATTTGCAAGTTTTCAAACAATTCAATATATTTTGAACTTCAAATTAAGCTCGGTACTTCTTTTAATTAATCATGGAGATTGAAATTGCCCCGTTTGTAAATAATTACAGCGGGAATGCATATCTATCCACATCGGACAAGCAGGAGTCCAAATGGGTAATGCGTGTTGGGAACTGTATTGTTTAGAGCATGGAATCCATCCTGACGGGCAAATGCCCAGCGATTCCACCGTAGGTTCCGGAGAGGATTCTTTCAATACATTTTTTTCCGAAACAGACTCTGGAAAGCACGTTCCAAGAGCAGTTTTCGTTGATCTTGAACCAACAGTAGTAGGCAAGTTACCGTGTGAAAAGTTTCAATGTTTTTCCAGAACAATTAATTAGTTCCTATGTTTGAACTGTTGATATTTTAGATGAAGTTCGTACAGGTACGTACAGGCAGTTGTTTCATCCAGAACAATTAATTACTGGAAAAGAGGATGCCGCAAATAATTATGCTCGAGGACATTATACGATAGGTGTGTCGCGTTAAGTTTCGCGTATCATATAAGAAAAGGTTTTTATATATTCTAAGAAAAATTTACTTTTCAGGGAAAGAAATCATAGATCTCACTTTGGATCGAATTCGAAGGCTCACCGAAATGTGCAAAGGTTTGCAAGGTTTTTTAATTTTCCATTCATTCGGTGGTGGTACAGGATCAGGATTTTCAAGCTTATTGATGGAACAATTGTCCGCCGATTATCCTAAAAAAAGTAAACTGACCTTTAGTATTTATCCGGCGCCTCAGGTACATACATCAAATAGTTAATTTCATATAAACGAAATACTAATAATTAAAATAGTCTATTCATAATAAGTGTAATAAAATGCCACTTCTTAGGTATCGACGGCGGTTGTAGAACCATATAACGCAATTCTTTATACACATCCAACATTAGAACACTGCGAGGTGGCCTTCATAGTTGACAATCAAGTATATATAAGTTCTATATATTTACATCGGCTATAATATCTTTGATGTTAGTTCATTAATGATTAACTGCATTTTGTAGGCTATTTATGAGCTGTGTAGAAGGAACTTGAACATCGACAGACCTACATATACAAATTTGAATCGTTTAATTGGACAAATCGTTTCCTCGATAACAGCCAGTTTACGATTCGATGGAGCTCTTAACGTTGATATTACCGAATTTCAAACAAATTTAGTTCCATATCCTCGTATCCATTTTCCTTTGGTAAGTTGAATAAAAAACATTTTATAACTTTCAATGGAAGAAATATGTAGTTAAATAACTTACCGTATTTTATGTAGGCAACATACGCTCCCGTTTTATCGGCTGAGAATGCTGGTCATGAAAGAATTAGCGTAGCAGATATAACAAACTCTTGTTTTGAACCAAATCATCAAATGGTAAATTGCGATCCTCGAAACGGTAAATACATGGCTGTGTGTATGCTTTACAGAGGAGATGTAGTCCCAAAAGATGTAAATTCGGCGATAGCAACTCTCAAAAGGCAGAAACATGTTCAATTTGTTGAATGGTGTCCGACCGGTTTTAAGGTTTGAGTGATATAGTATAAAAAAAGAATATTAACCCTGTAATTAAATAATAAATTTTAGTATTGATATTCCTTTAGGTGGGAATTAATTATCAACCTCCTACTGTGGTACCAGGCGGTGATCTTGCTAAAGTAGAAAGGGCTGTATGTTGCCTCTGCAATACTACTGCCATAGTAGAAGCATGGGCTAGAATTGATCACAAATTTGATCTCATGTACGCCAAAAGAGCATTCGTTCATTGGTAAATTCTATTTTATCAAAATGCATAATTGAAACTTTAATTTAAATAATGTAATATAATAAACAAAATCATAGGTTCGTTGGTGAAGGTATGGAAGAAGGTGAATTCGCTGAAGCGAGAGAAGATTTAGCAGCTTTAGAACTGGATTATCGAGAAGTACAGGAAGATGCTGTTAATACCGAAGATGAAGAAGAATACTAATTTGAAATGCGTTAAAACATATATTATTTACATAAGCGTATTTATTAAGATGTAATAAATAAATGGAATTAATTATACATACTATTTGTTTGACAAACTTGTATTTTAAAAAGACCATCATAAATTAAATATTTTTAAAATTCGACACCAGCGCCATCTACGCAAAAACGTCGGAAACTGTTCGCCGACTAGTTTCCGCAGCTTCTTGATAAATGGCGCCAATATTCCCTTGTTTCTGAAATTCAATATTGATAAAAAAAAAAGATTCAATCTTACGCATGGACCCGAGTGGGGTCCCAAGTGCGTATTAATAAAAGAAAAGAAATTCAATCGATAAGTTGTTGAGTAATTTCCGTCCTTTCTGCATAGATGGCGTTGGGATCGAATTTTAAAAATATTTAATTTATGGCGATCTTTTTAAAATACAAGATTGTCAAACAATTATTTTAATCATTTTTTGGACTTGTGCTGATTTTGACTGATTTCTAAAAAATAGAAGTATATACAATGCAAAGTGTTTCACATTTTTATACTAAGATAGAACAGATGGCGCACAAATTCAAGACCCCTCGAAAATAAAAGCATGTCTAATCTTGTTTTATCTGTATTCGTTGGAAATGCTATTCAATTGTCAACAAGCTACGTATAAAATATTTAATATTTTGCGTGGTTTTATAATAAAACATTTATTAATATACAAATTTTGATATAAGCAATTGTATTGAAACAAGAAATTGTATAAAAAATAATCGTTCTGTGAATATATATAAACGTCAAATTGCCGAATGTGAAATTATAGTGAAAAAACTTATTGCTATTGTTTGTGGAATGTAAATTTTATAAGATATAATTATTACAATGTTAAGTCAACAATATCCAATTTTTACTGACATTGAATCTCATATTAAGCCACTTTTAATAGATGTTCTGTCAACTGATAAAATTGGTAAGTTACTTGTTCTGTTTAAATAATGTATTATAATAAATGTTAAATATTTGTTATATTTGTGTATTTTTACCTTTTTTAAGGAGTATGCCATGAATCAATTCAATTAGATTCTGTTTCATCTAGCTGTGGCAAAGTGGAAGGAGATCGTTTTAGATTACTTATTCCTTATGCCAGACAGAATTTAACTTGGAATGTATTTTTTGACTCACAGTATCCTGAAATGGGTCCTGACTTCATATTTAATGATAATTCCTTCTTAGCAGATACAGATATTGATACTTTGTCTGTTAAGGTACCTAGCCTTACCGAATGGAATCCTAGTGATAAACATGCTTTATTGAATGTTCTTATTGAACTTTTATCATGTTATAAGCAACATCAGGTTTGAAGTTTATTTATCAAGTATAATTTATCACCTATAATTTCTAATAAAGTTAATATTTACATGTATTTTTTGTATTAGATGCAGTTACTTCAGAAACAAGACAAATTACAACTTGAATGTAATATGCTAATGACATCAACAGAAGTAAAGTCAGAAGATGTTGAAATGATATTACTACCATTTGGTTCAAAACCTACAGAGGCTAGATTTGTAATAAGTTTATCTGTGGATGTATCACAGTTAGAAGCTCGTACTTATAAGTCAGAAAGTGATACAGCAATGCTTCTTATAATATTTTCTGGGACAGATTGGAATCGTATTATAGTACAAATCTTTTTCTCAAAATCATTGGAAGAAGCTCTTGGTGGACCAAGAGCATTAAACTTACCACCATTACCACCAGATAAATTTTTGATAGATTATGTACCAGAAGTAAAAAAATGTATAACAGACAAGGTATATAAATTTCGTTTTAATTAATAATATATTATTGAATTATCATTAAAATAAACTTTTTATTTCAGATAAATTCAATAAATCAAAGTTTAATAAAAAGAAGAGAATATATATCAACTATGTTAGCACTACAGAATTATTCTTCTGTAGAATATGATTCTGTAAAGTTTAGTTATATATCGATGATGTTAGTTGATCATGAAGACTTTCATGTTATAGTAAAGATAGAACTTTGTGCAGGATTTCCTAATGAAAAACCTATAATTTTACTTATGTCAATATACCATATGGAAGGACCTCACACTGTATATAGAGAATTTCTTGAAAATTTTCCATTTAAAGCACATTGGAATTCAGTTTTTATGGTCAAAAAATTACTTCCACATATTAATTGTGCTATTAAGTCATTTAAACAGAATACGATTAAAAATTATTGTTCATAATAATAATCTAGTTTATGATCAGTTTGTTACATTTATTCACAACTTAATTTCTGTGTTAACTATTTACATGAACTTCTTTATATAACAAATGTGAAAAATAATTCTATCTATATATACATTACAAATACGTAACAAATGTGATACGTATTTGTAATGTATATATAGATAGAATTATTTTTTGAGTTCTTTTTAAAAATAATGACAAACATATTCAAGTAATATTAAGGTACATAAAATATAATATATTTGTCATGTAAAAAACTGATTAAAATTTTATATAATAATAATTGCTTTTATTGTTATATGATTGACAACACAATATTTTTCAATGTATGGAATATACTATTTATATTCCAATACAAAAGAAATCTGTACATGTTATTCTTTCAAGGAGAGACCTGTACCTAATACATCACCTGTCATACGATAAGTTTTTGTTCGTTCTGCGCATGTTAATTCTGATTGGCTCAAGCATGCTCCCTCTGCGCAAATGCGTAAAATTATTTTACAGCATATAATTTGTGCTCAAGTGATCTAAGATCAATTTTTTAATTACTTAATTATTCACAGTATTTATTCGTGTTAATAAGGTAAATAAAAGAACAAAGTATATAATATAAGAGGTTATGTTTTAAATGTTAATATATATAAATGGTATCATTTATTAGAAGTTATATAAAACCCATTTTGTCTAGCAATAAATTAATTTTTTCTTTTGATAAACTATCATATACCACTATGGTGAAATACCTGAATCAACAAGAAAGCATTAATATAGATAAAGATTTATTTGAAAAGTATAAATTCAGTGTGGATCAGTTGATGGAACTTGCTGGACAGAGCTGTGCTATTGCTATTGCTCGAACTTACCCATTATTTAAAAATTCTGCACAAAAGATTTTAGTTTGCTGTGGACCAGGAAATAATGGAGGTGATGGATTAGTTTGTGCTAGACATTTGAAACAATTTGGATACTCTCCAGAAATTTATTATCCTAAAAGAACAAGCAGTACTTTGTATGAAAATCTATTACATCAATGCATTGAAAATGACATTTCTGTGGTAGAAAATAATATAGAAGATTTTGCAGCAAATCAAATGCATCACTTTGCTCTTATAGTGGATGCATTATTTGGATTTAGTTTTAAACCACCTGTCAGAGAAACATTTATTCCAATTATTGATTTACTAGAAAAAACAAGTATTCCAATTTGTAGTATAGATATACCCTCTGGTTGGAATGTTGAAAATGGTCCACCCACAGAAGGTGGTATAAAACCAGAAATGCTGGTATCATTAACAGCACCAAAATTATGTGCTAAAAAATTTGAAGGTAAATACCATTACTTAGGTGGCAGATTTGTGCCAAAAAAATTAGAAAAAGAATATAATCTTAATCTACCTGAATATCCAAACACAGATTTAATTGTTCCCTTATCTTAAATATTCATATAAAATAAAGTTATTTCCATTATATAAAGTTTTAATAACTTTTATTATAAAATTATGTATGTATAATTATAAATAAAATGTGTGTATTAAAACCAATTTAAGCATTGCATCAATAATAACTGTTACAAATACTCTTCGATTCTTTAATTAATTTATTGTTTTTCTAAAATGATTTATTTTCCAAAGTAATTGAAGCTAGCATGGAGGCCAAACTTCGAATTCCGCGTCGGTAAAACAGTCAACGTTTCATCGAAAATTAGACCGAACAGAAACTGATTTAAGCGCCACTTTAATTATCGCATGCTATCAACTAACGGCAACGTAGCGAATTTCTATCAAATGAAAAGCAGAAATTATGTGTTCTGTGGACAAGGGTGAGATCTGGCGCCTGACCAGAGTCATGGATAAAGAAATTTACGACCTTTCCAATGTACAACGTCTCTGCTTGAAATATCTTTGTATGCCGCCAGACAAAAATTAAGGATTACATATCTTAGCCTGCATTATATTCTATGATTACATGCACGTGCACGTTTGTTTTATTACACCGTAATTTAAAGTTTGTTCTATTTTGTAATGTTGGTTTTTAACAAAATAAACACGAAATCAAATGGAAGAGATTTAATTTTCAAATATTTATAAAAATTAATATCAGCAGTATAATTTTTCAGAAATGAGTAACGTTATTTTAAAAGAGGCGTAAGGAACTTTTCATAACTAATAGAATAATGTATTATTAAGTTCGTTTAATTAACTAATAACTTGTGAAATCTGTTAATACATATAAGTATTTTATAAACGAGTACCTCATTTTTTATGTATATTATAGTAAAAAAGTTACTTCAGTAATGTATGCATTTATTAAATATATAAGTACTTAATTCAATATTGATTTGATAAGTACATATATTCGTAAGCAATGAAATTTAAATTTTTACTAACAGAAGCATGATTTCCTCATCTGATATTTATATATTATAATTATAGATTTGAAGTTGAATCCAAGCATGGTGCATTTTATACAGGAGGAAATGTTCAGGTATGTTAATTAAAATTGTTAAATATGTTCTTCATTTTTTTCATTAAATAAATAATTATAGTGGAGCAAAGATGGTCAACATATATTTTGTCAGAAGAATGGTGTAGTTTCTATAGTATCAGTGAACAAAGGCATAGTACTTTATTATTTGGGAGAAAGAAATGATGTTGAAGAGGAAGATACGATTAATACGTTCACAGCAAGTGATAATGATTTGAATATTATTACACACCACAAAAGTGGTCTATTCAAATTATGGAATTGGAAAGGTAATGTTTATTTAACATGTTGAACACCAAAGTGAAAATAGGCACCCTAATTGCATTACTCCTTGTAATTACATAAAAATCAGAAGAGATCATTATGATTATAGTTGCATAGTGGAAATCATCATTTAATTAAATATTTCTTTTCAGATAATAAATTAATCAAATTATGGAAGTCTATTCACAAAGGTCCAGTAGCTTGCATTGCACACTTGAGCGAAAAGAATTTAATAGCTTCTGGAGGTAGTGATGGTGCTGTGAGATTATGGGACTTGGAGCATTACGCTTGCATTCACAACCTGAGAGGAGTACAAGGAGTTGTTAGGTATGTACTTTACATAGACTGTATCTTTAAGCCACGGAGCCGAGCTGAGCGGCTCACGCAGTACGTTGCTACGAGTTCAATTCAGAGATCTGTAAATACCGCAATAAAGAAAATAATACTCCCAATTTTTCACAGTATCTTCTAATAACTAAATGCCTTTGAAAAGTGCAAAAAAAATTGAGTTTGTTAGACTCAGATTACCAGAATGCCTCCTTATACAATGTACAGAGTGGTTCATTTAAGAATAGTGGTACAAAAAATATGTTTTATAGAATTTGAATGGTATCAATACCAGTATGCTATAAGAATATTTTTCTTTACATAAAGAAACTTTTTTATCATATTATATATTTGTTTATTCTAATTTCAGTGTGTTAATTTTCCATCCAAATACTGAAAAAGACCTTATCTTTGCTGCTGGCGATGATGCTAAAATTCATGGATGGAACATTAAATCTGGTATAGAAAAAATTACCCTCTCTGGACACTTTAGTAAAGTTACATCTTTATCTTTTCTTAAAGATGAGGATTATCTAGTTAGGTAATGTATTAAAATTATTTTGTAGCTTTTAATATCAAATTAGGTACTTATATATATAATAGGGTGTCTTTTATACAGTTCAGGAAGAGATAAAGTATTAATTCTATGGGATATTTCTTCTGGATCATCAATACGTATTTTACCAGTTTATGAGGAAATAGAAGATACATTTATCATTCCTAAAAATGCACAGTCGGCGGTTTTATGTAATAAGGATGAAAGTGGTGTTTATGTTGCTGGTGCAGGAGAAAAAGGTTCAATTATGAAACTTCAATTAACTTATTTATAGCATTATAGAAATCACGTAATATTGAAATATTGCAAATTTATAAAATAGTATATAGTTACACATTACAGAAAAGTATTATAAAACTTAAATCTTTCTTTAGGTATTGTCAAAATTTGGGAAATGAGAAGTGGTAAAGAAGTATATACCCAGAAAAATTCTATTGTGTCAGCAGCAAAAGAAGAAGGGAACTTTGCAATTATACATTTGCTTTATAACGAAAGTAGCAACAGTTTTGCTGTAATTACCGTAGACCACAACATAATTATTCATTCATTCGAAACATTTGCGCATGTAAAACAGGTAAAGTTAATTTTTATTTATAGTATGATCAATTTTTATGGAGGCAAGTATTTGTAATAATATTAAATTGTCGTAGTTAATAGGTTACAGCGATGAAATTTTGGATATTGTATATTTCGGAAATAATGGAAGTCACATAGCAGTTGCTACCAATAGTTGTGATATAAAATTATATAATGTATCAACTATGGATTGTGAACTATTATGTGGGCATACAGATATTGTTTTATCTCTTGCTGTAACATCTGCTAATGTCAATCTACTTATATCATCAGCAAAGGTATTTTCATAATCAAATATATTTTAATATAACGTAATAAATTTATCAAATCGTTAATAGCATTTCACAATTTACAGGATAATAGCATTCGCGTATGGTGTATGGATAAAGAAACAACAAAAGTATCTTGTGTTGCATCTTCTGTTCGGCATACTGCTCCAATTGGTTCTGTTGCTATTTCTCAAACATCGTCTAAATTCTTTGCTTCAGTCAGTCAAGATTCTTGTCTTAAATTATGGAATTTATCGGAAAATACTGAGCATAAGGGTAAACGGAATTTTTACTTAAATTATATATTATTTATTGCTCATTATATTAATCATTATTAATATTGTTTTATGTTACATTGTTACAGACACGTACATTTTAAATGTAATTCATACAGCATTGGCTCATGAAAAAGACATTAATTGTGTAACCATATCGCCAAATGATAAATTAATTGCTACTGGATCACAAGATAAAACAGCTAAAGTAAGATAGATCAAAATTTAAAACGTTTACAAATACTTTTATTCATTAACATGTTGAATACCAATATTATTCAATTTACCATATTATAAATATAAAGATATTTATATTAAATATTGTAGCTGTGGTCAGCAGATAATTTGCAGTTGCTTGGAGTATTTCGTGGACATAAGAGAGGTGTATGGTGTGTTCGATTTTCGCCCATAGACCAAGTACTTTTAACAACATCAGCAGATTGTACAGTGAAACTTTGGTCATTGACAGAACTTCACTGTTTAAAAGTAATTTTTTAAAAATTACGATTTAAATGTATCAACAATATATCGTTGCTCATAATCCTTTTTATGCAATAGACACTCGAAGGTCATGAATCGTCCGTATTAAAAGCAGAATTTTTGAGCCGTGGAATGCAATTAATTACAGCAAGCGGGGATGGTCTGCTAAAACTTTGGAACATTAAAACATCAGAGTGTATATGTACTCTGGAACAACATGAAAGTCGTGTATGGGCACTTGCCGGTAGATACTATTTTACTATCTTTAATTATTAATTTAACATTAATTTGTTTAACTAATACCTTCATTTTCTAATATTTAAATTGCAGTTACTAAAGATGAGAAACATGTAATTAGTGGTGGAAGCGATTCATTATTAGTTATTTGGAAAGATGTAACCGATGAAAGGAGAATGAAGAAAGCAATGGAAATTGAGCAACTTGCATTGGAAGAACAAAAATTAGCAAATTTACTTAAAGCAAGTAAATTGACGTCTGCTTTAAACTTAGCTTTAAAATTGGATCGTCCTTTCAAAGTCCTAAAAATTGTAGAAAGTACGTTTCATTTACTTTTTATTAATATACTATTAATTGGAGTTATTTTCTGTATAATTATATAAAATTCAATTTGTGTTAGATATTTTAAAGCAAGATGCTTCTCAACTTGAACAAACGATTCGTGAATTGAAACCTATTTACAAAGAAGAATTACTGAAGTGTGCTGTGACGTGGAATGCCAACAGTAAAAATTGCCAAATAGCTCAGGTAAGTGCTGAAATATAATTACGTGTTTCGTGTGATTCATTGTGTGAAAGCTTTATTCGTAATTTTACTTACATCAAATTTGTATTTAATAGGTAGTCATAAATACGTTAATAATGGAAATGGAACACTTAGAATTTAAAACAAAATTAAGTTCCACTTTAGAATCCGTGATACCGTATACCGAACGGCATTACGTACGAATGACAAAATTGCTCCAGAATCTTCATTTGATTACGTATATCTTAAATCGTATGAAACCGCATATTGCATCTATAGAAATGAAGTGAAATATGTATATAAGTAATCAATTTGATACATTGTATATTATTTAAACATATTCTTTTTAATCATTTTTTCCATCGATTAATAAATTATATGAAATTCTTTAAGATGTTTAAATTTTTGTTTAAAAAGATTACCATTTAAGATTCTGGAAAAAGGAGTAAACTTCAAATTTTAAATTGTGTAATGCTTGTTTTAATATGTCTAATATAAATACTACTTAATTTAAAACAAGCACAATAGAAATAGAAATACTAGATAGGGTGACCCTTGATGAGGCTTTTATTACTCCGGGGATCCAGGGTCTGGGCCAGAAATTATGCAAAATCAATGTCACACACGCTTTCCCAACGCTTTCTTCATAATTCATTATAGCAAGAGCCATTTTTAACCAGGAAATTTAGTCGGAAAACATTGAGGTTCTATTGTAGATTGTAGGTGCAATCCACGCACGACGCTGTTTGCAACATTATCACTGGATACCGCCGCTCTTTCGGCGTAGGAAAACACATGTTGTTTACAGATCGATTAGATTAATTGCCCGCGCTATATTTCTGCGAATATTATAACGCAACACTACTGTACATACCAGACCATTCAGTTGTTACGCACAGCTCTATGCAGATATTTAACATGACGTCCTAACTCACCTCATTTTCACCAATTTTCAGCACGTGATTTATTTTTTCAGGGATATGTAAATATTTTTTACCAGATGCCATTGATGTAATTAGAACATTCTTACATTAATTCTTGTCTTTCACACTCTGATTCATACACACACACGTCTTTTGATCAAGTTCTATGGAAAAGAAAAAAATATATTAATAGTCTAAAAAGAGATATTCTACCGTGTTCAATTGCAAAAAACCACCCCGTTTATCATAGGTTCGGTATTAAAATTATCTTTTAGAATTTCATTATAATTTATTTACTATTTTAGAATTTCTTTTATTCTTCTTTCTGTAAATCACTTATTTGTATAATTACATAAAAACTATTTTTTATAAAAAATGTGTATGATATAATTACAGTAAAATAATGATAAAAATCTTAAAGAATTTCATAATTGTATTATAGTTGTTCACAATATAAAAATATAAGTAATGTGATATTTAAGGGACTAGTGGTCCCTCCCTAAAATATCTCTTAAATTATTCAATTTTCGACCTAAGTGCCTTAATATTTTTTTGTAAAGAATTAAAAAGCGCTTCGATTGATGTATAGAAGAATACATAGTTCCATTTGAAAAAGTGAAGCTGACCTTGAAATCTTTAGAATGTCTCTACTTCCGGAACCGATACGTGAAGCAAGTGATGCTCCATTTGACACCATTTAATTTTTTCTATCTTATACCATTTTAGAGCATAGCTTGGCCCAATTGTATGAGACACCCTATATAATAGTAGAGCGCGCGGAAACGCCGGTTCTTTAATAGCTAATTACGACAGTAATTATAAAGTGATCATCTTAAAAGACTTGTTTTATAAATAAAATTTCAATGAATATCATCGTATTTTTGTAAAACATAATCTCACCTTCCAGGAAAAAGTAATAAAATAAAAATTTTATTACTACAAAATCAATTTTTCAAATAAAAAGAAAGGAAAATAAACTCGAGGAACCAAGTGAAAATTGCAAAATTAAAAGGTTCATACTTTTTAAACGTATTCAAAACCAACAAAATGATGACTTAAACCTTTCTCCTAATTTCATGTTTATTGTATCATATTTTATATGAACTAAAATCCTTGTCATTGATTTCAAAAAGTGATCAATTTGGTATCGAATGGCCCTGTATGCTTTTCATTCACCCTATATATGTACATACAATAGAAGCAGTATATTGTATTGTCCTAATGTCATATGGTACTTGAATATGTATTCGCTTTGTAAAAAGAATATTCTGAGTGGGAGGAATGGTTGGGTAATATTTGGTTTCCAGCAAATTTACTCAACAGCATACTTGTGTATCTAAGAAAGAATCAGTTCAACTTTATTAGTGAAGGAGTTCAGTTATAAGGGAACTTAAAATGGTTTCAAAAAGAAGAATTCATTCTCTTGTGTTGTTTTTCTATTTCTTACAAATATTACATTTAAATACATCAACTATGTAAGTTATATTTTCATTATGAAATTATTACAGTAATTATTGTGACTCTAAAATATATTTTATTTAAATTTAATAGTATGTATTCTTTTAAATATTGAGTCCTAAAAATGAAGGTAAAATATCTTATATTCATTTCATATGATAGAAAAGTAAAATTACTGGAAACCAGTTCTAATTAGTTAGAGTCTTATACATCAATTTATAAATTATAATACACAATCACACGCATAAACACAATGCATAATATATAACAGAACAGACTATAAAATTATAATATTATCAAGTAAAGCTAATATGATTATTATAGCCATATCAATTCATTATAATACTAATAAGTTATTGTACAAAATATTCATGTATAAATATTATTGTTTTTCTAACTGAAGACATTTCATATAAAAGTCAATAGCTTTCAAAACATTTATGTAAATATTAACTTTCAAGTGAAAGGTGATTATTGTCTTTTGTTGTTTAAATAAAATTGTAACATGTTTTAAATATTTTTTTAGTTAGAAAAACTATTAGTTTTAGCTTCATATTACACTGGAAAACATTTAAGTGACAATAAATAACTACACCTTTTAAAATGCTAGAGCTATTCCCATTAACAGTATAAATTTGCCATTCAATTTATTAGGAAGGAAAGTAAGAAGAATTTTATTCAGTAATGGTGTGCAGATATAATCAAAAATATTGATAACTTATATAAACAGTTGAATGTTTGATGCTATAAATTAATGTCTTCATGTATGTAGGTAGATAAGATGTTAATGTTGAAATTGGTATTAAAACTCTGATTGCGGTACCGATGTTGCATTGTTTTAACTTTAAAATAAAAGTTTAATATGTTTTCTAATAAAACACTTAAATCACTCAAATCTTTGTTTAAATGACTTTTCGTTTGTTATACCTTAAACTTATAAGTACATTTTTATTATTGAATCTAATTTAATTTTCGAAAGGTTTCTATTAATTTTAATACATTATAAGTAACTGAATGTTAAATATATTAAAAATTCATTTAGGTGAAAAAATATGTCTAAAGTTGCATAAATTTAAAAAGGTGTGAGTTTACTTTTACTCCTTTATGACTCATTTTATAGATTAAAGAAACATATTAGAAGTATTGATATACTTCATATGTAGTTCACACTTCTAATATTTTCGTATGAAACAATTATTTATTACTTGTAAGCTTTATCTTTTTTTTACGATTTGAAATTCTAATGAGAAGAACTTCTTTTCTAATGTACAGTCACATGCATTGTATTGTCATCTGCATCAGTACAAAGCAACAATAAACCATTCTTGCTATGCACTTAGTAATGTGTAGAATTTTAATTCAAGGACTTTCTTACAAAACAACATTATCTTTTTGTACTGCATTTATACTGTTATATATTAATTTTCTCTAATTACTGTTTATTGTTAAAAAATGTTGAAATTTACTCATAAACCTTCAATGCGTTCATTGAATAACTAAGTGCTGGGAATAAAGTTATTTCTATGTAAAATTACTTGTATTTTTTGTAGATTGGGAAGTTGCCCAATGTTAAATAATAGCATTTCTATGACACAAACTGAGCTCCTACAACTATTAACTGATGAGTGTCGTTATGACAAAATGGTGAGACCTCCAGGAGAAGTCAATACCACTGATCCAATTAATGTGTACACCAGTGCTTACATTTATACAATTAAATCAAATATGGTCAAAACCCTGGTAGTTTATGTTATAATTATATTATGCTTTATAAGTGTACATACAGTTTCGAACATAGTAATTATTTTTATATCTATTATACACATACTCAATAATGATTTTGCAGCAGTTTGATGTGCACATGATGTTACAATTTAGGTATTTGGATAAAAGGTTAAAATTTTCACATATTGTTCCAAACTTAAGTCAGATACACGGCGGACAATTTGCACATGACTTAATTTGGACGCCTAATGTATATGTTTCCAATGAACCCAGTTCAGCTATAATGGGAAATGGTGTTAAAGACATACTTATTTCTATAAGTCCAGCTGGCATGGTTATATTAAATACTAGGTATGTAATTACAAATTAAACTAAATTTACAAATGTTAAGTAAATATTTAATCATACCGTAAATGTCCTAAAAACATGCTATTTTTTTATATTATTTATAGGTTTACTATTCTCATTATTATTACATTTACTATTCAATTTTATTTACTAAGACAAAAATTTCAATAACTATCAATAATAAATGTATACCAAAATTACATTAAAACTATTAATTTTAGACCAAAAATTAATTCTGAAAAGATTACAAATGAGCAATATTTGTTATCGAATCTTACATAAACTTGTTTAACTATAGAAATACTAATTGTAAGTTTTAATATAGTAATTGTATTAGTAACTCATTTATGCGATATAAACAGTACGTACATTTATTTTAGGTTGCAAGCAACTCTTAACTGTGGGCTTCGTTTGGAGAAGTTTCCATTTGATGTACAAGAATGTCCACTTATTTTTGAAAGCTGTAGGATGTCATTGTTGTCGTATTACTACAATGTCAGCTATTTTATTCTACTATGCTCCTTGGAATGAATGGAATTTTTACCTACAGGGACACACAATGTGCTTGACATGGTATTGTATTGGGATGACGAGCCAATTGTACTTGCAGATGAATTACATTTAACTGAATACAAGCTTGTGGACAAATGGGTTAATATGACAGAAACATTTTATACTACATCGCAACAACATTATGGTCATTTTGGTATACATCTTATTTTACGTACTACATAATGTTTTAACTATTTTAATTAATATCTTTTATATTTGTAGCTGGAAATTTCAGTTCTCTTACTATAACGTTTAAATTAGCACGTGAAATGGGATTCTTTATGATGGACTATTACATACCATCTATATTAATCGTGGTGATTTCTTGGGTTTCTTTCTGGTTGCATATGGATGCAAGTCCGCCACGAATAGTATTAGGTAAAATATTTTAATAATGTGGATATAATGTATATTAGTATTATAATATCAAGAACTAATTAAGCATTCTATGTATTAGGAACAAACACTATTTTGACGTTTATGACTCTTGCATCAAAAGTCGAAAATTCCTTACCAAAAGTTTCTTACATAAAAGCCAGTGAAATATGGTTTCTAGGTTGTACTATATTTTTGTTTGCAGCAATGGTAGAATTTGCCTTTGTTAATACAATTTATCGACGAAAGTATGTATATTTTAGTTTATAAATATGATTGCAGTGGCATTACATTTGTTAATATAATTATCAATCTCGTGATTACATTCATATAGGAAAAATGTGCCATTAAAAAAAGTTAATAGTAAATACATATTAAAATCAACATTAACGCCAAAACTAGCACGGAAACAATTTCAGAAAAATACTACAGGACTAGAAAGATCTCGTTCTTGGTCATCGCTTGAAAACACAACTATTAGTGATCAAGATTATTCAAGTCAAAATTATCTCACCGTACATGTAAGTTAATATTTAATAACAAGTATATCTAACGGGATTAAATTAAGTGAATTCTAAGTACTTTTCATAAAATATATTCTTCCATAGAGTTTTCCAAGTAATCTCAATATTCCATCTGTAAAAATTGAGGAGGACAAAGACCAAGAATGTTCAAGAAAAAGTATTGCGACTATTAGCAGTACACCGCTACCAAAACCATTCCCGCGAAGAGCAACCCTTGCCCATTTACATAATTTTACAACAATGACGCCGCAAGAAATTGCTCAGTGGATCGATAGACGCAGTAGAATTGTATTTCCTGTAGCTTTCATCATATTTAACATCCTTTATTGGTCTTTTATTTGGATATAAAAATTTCATAGTTAAATTAAGTATATTTAAAGAGTATCTAAGAATTTAAATTTTTTGATTACATGTATATTATTATTTAGTCGCTTTTTATATTAACGATTTATTTTTACGATACAAAACAATCTCAAATACATAAATTATTTTAGAAAAGAAAATAAGATCTTTTAGCACTATACTATCTGATACCTTTTTCTTAAAATACAGGATGTCTCATGCAATTGGGACAAGCTCTAGCTTTAAAACGGTAAAAGACAGAAAAAAATCGGTACTGGAAGTGGACATATTTTAAAGATTTCATTTTTTTTTTCTAAGCGCTTTTTTATTCTCCACAAAAATATATTAAGATAATTGACTCGAAAACTGATTAATGTAAAAAATACCTTAAGGAGAGACCACTAGGCTCTCCTTGTCTCTCCCTAAGATATCATTTGAACCCAAATACCTTAATATTTTTATGCAGAAAATTAAAAAACGCTTTGATTGATGTACAACAAAATACACAATCCTGTTAAAAGAAATGAAATACCTCTTTTAAAATCTTTTAAATGTCTCCATTTCCGGTGTCGACACACACGCATGGTACTTTGACGCTATTTCATTTTTCTCGATGACATTCTTTCCTATCATTTATCGTTTTAAAGTTACACATTGCCCCATTTGCATTGAACACCCTGTATATTAAAAACATATACAGATATGATATACTGATTTATAAAAGAAATATAAAAAATGTGTATACATATATACCGCAGTTCACCAAAGTCCATAACTGCGCCGCGCAGGTTGGAAGATGGTGGGGGAACGCAGCGAGCTCTCTGCTAATCGTTTTCCACTTCGTTTGGAAGTATCGCCAATCAGGGCGAAGATGCGCACTGGAGAAGCGCGAAGAACGAAAACTGGTCTTTTCGCAGTTATGGACTCTGGTGAACTGCGGTATACACATATTCATATACATTGTAATCAGGTTGAAATATATTTTATGAGCGGTAAAAATATTTTTACATTAAAATATTTTATATTTTATATACATAGCAAATAAATTCTCTATTAATTTGAACATATGTGTTCTACGATTTATAATCTAGAAATATCGTTTCTGTATAACCGGAACAGATAACGATATAAATAAGCCAGAACCTTTTTCGTTCATAATTATTTTAAGATTATTTCGGTTCTTATAAATGTTTTGAGAACCGAAACTGACATCATAGCTGTTTTCAATAATAGGGATTCCCCGTGCCTTAAATTTGAATTTTTACATACTATGTAAACCGCAGGATTTTCGAAGCAATAAACATGAGTAATAATTTTAATGCATTTGGTTTCTTGTTCATATTCGTTGATTTCTATACTATATAACCTATTTAGATGAAATCTACTTTTTGCGTGGATAGCAATGCCACTTAACATTTATATCTTCCCAACGAATCATCCGGCTCTAACACCTGCTATTTACATTCATTTGCATTTCAGTTTGATTAGTATGTAGCTCAATGAACACAATCTATATGAAGAGAATAAACACGGAGGGGGAAACCCGGTGCAGCCTTGGATGTCCCTGGGTTAAAGTTTCGTAAAAGTTCATTATTGACCATTAAAATATCGTTTTTAAAAACGCGCTTTTTCGACGTTTTAATTATTTTCAATAAAAATTTTGAATATCCAATAATTATATAGCATAAACAAAAACTGAAGGATAACAATAATCGCCATAAATCCTTCCCCCAAATATTGTTTTTTATGTAAACAGCTATCTACAAAATTTCTGTCAAATCCGGTTTGATAGGTTTTCGAAAATTTAGCCAGTAATAATCGTTAATTTGCATTGGAAACGTATAAAATAAACTAAACCACATTTATATGTATATAAATACCTATGTCGATAAGGAGTAGCAGCCTTGAAAGGAAGTGGTATAACACGTGGCTGTCAGCTGATGCATGCGCGTTTACTGACTTTCCAGCTGTTGACTGATTTGTAATGTTACATCACTAAAAGTTTAGAGATCTTTGCAACCAAGTATGAATTAGAACTATCGCTCACAGCATGGAGCAGTGTAAGTTCTGTTTTTAATATGTCCGTAATTGTACTTTTTTATTTATCTATACTTTATGACATATCTATATACTCTTTATTCATTAATAGTCTACGTTTATCGTTTTACGGTTATTTTTGTTCAAATTTATATTAAATGATTTACATGTATTATACTTTTCATTGTATCAATACACTTTTATTTAATAAACAATTTACTATAATTAGTATAATATATTCTATAGAACTTTGTACTTATACGCACGCAAAAACAATATTTATGATCTACATACATGCTATTGACAGAATTAATTTATAACGAGTCACGATTGAACGTACATATACGTGTAAGTATATAAAGTAGAACTACTGTTAAATAATTTGAACTGTTTATGATAAATTGAAATGTAAAACAGATTTATATTTTTGTGAAAGTGTATATACATAACATAAATTAAAAATTGTATGTAAAAATCACTAACATAAAAGTCTTCAAATTTAATAAAATCATGCCAATAACGTATATATACGGACGAGTGCGTATTTATATTAATTTATAAATGTTTTGTTTACTGCATTAAATAAAATGTTTAACTTTCAGATTCTAATTTTCATTTATAATATAAATATTATTTTTTTGCTTATTTACAGTTTCTGTTATGTTGTTAAAAAATTTATAATGGTAATTATCATTTTCCTGTAATATATTTACTATGTAAATATATAAAAAGAAAAGGTAAGTACATTAATTTAAGTCTAATAAATATATTCTCAGAAAAATAACAACTGCTTGCTTTATGAAGGTTAATGAAATATAGAAAATATGGAAGATAAGACAAAAAAGTTATCACACTGGTATTTTGGTGGACTTGCTTCTGCAGGTGCTGCTTGTCTAACCCATCCCTTAGACTTGTTGAAGGTAATTTAATTATTAAATCTTTTATCTTATGCAATATAAATTTTAACTTTCCAGTGTTTTCCTCTTAAAATAATAAAATGATGTAAAAAGTGGATTATTACAGTTAAGAAAAATATATATACTCACATTACAGGTTCATTTACAAACGCAACAAGAAGGTAAAATATCTATAGTACGATTAACAACTTCTATAGTACAAAATCAAGGAATCTTAGCTTTATATAATGGCCTTAGTGCTTCATTACTTCGCCAACTTACGTACTCTACAACAAGATTTGGAGCATATGAAGTAAATTTAATTATATTATATGCGATATACAATTTTATTATATACTTTCAATGAATTATACACATATAGGTGGGTAAACAAACTTTTGAGACACCTGGACATCCATTATTATTTTATGAAAAATTATTACTAGCGGGATTTTCTGGTGCAGTTGGCGGAGTTCTTGGAACACCAGCAGATATGATTAATGTACGCATGCAGAATGATATAAAACTTTCACCTGAACTTAGAAGGAAGTAAGTATATAATTTTCTATGTTTATCTAGTTTTATTTCTATTGTATATTAATTATTGTAGTTATAAGCATGCTTTGGATGGAATAGTATGTGTAGTTCGACAAGAAGGTGTAGGTCAGTTATTTAGTGGATGTTCTACAGCGACATTAAGAGCAGCATTAATGACTATTGGACAACTAAGCTTTTATGATCAAGTTAAAATTACATTGATAGAAAGTGGTTATTTTCAAGATAATCCTGTAACTCATGTAATATCAAGTGTAGCTGCAGTAAGTATATTTAGATAGCACATAGATAGCTAGTATGAAGAGTAAGTTATTTAAATGTAATTTACTAAATAAGTTTGGGTTTGAATTTTTGGATTTTCTGGAGGGCAGTGTTGTAAGAGAAACAAACTTCTATATTTTTCAATGATCTATAATGTCAATTTGTTGACTTTCAATGTTTTGTTTTTCGTTTTTAATTTATTTTAATCTATTTTCTTCTTTTCTATTAATGGCATACATAAAACACGATAACCTCATTTAGCAGAATATAAGTATTTATCACATATTTAAAAATAAGTATATCTTTCTCAGTATGCAATAAATGACAATCCCATAATCTTCTGACATGTAGAGATTAATTTATCTTATTCATATCACAAACATTTGAGATATGGGATATTACATAACAAATGTAGCAGTAGTTTTAGATAATCGCAACACAGTAATAAATTTTTTATATTTCTCACACTTTAGAATAACATGCACCAGCAAAAAAAAATTATTAATAGATTAATGAAATGCTTAATTAAATAGTAAATATTACTTTGACTTGAACAACATTTTAAGCATTTTAATAAAAGAATGTATCTAAAGTATCTTTTTAAAACAGAATTGAGTTATGTTATGTGTTAAATAACTTACCCTATGTGTTGTATAAATTAATGCTTTATTTACATAGTATTTTTAATGTAAGGGTGCGGTAGCTACAACTCTTACACAACCATTAGATGTTTTAAAGACACGAGCAATGAATGCTAAACCTGGAGAATTTAAGGTAATTTTAATAATGAAACTCAAATATGTTGAAATATTTTTAATTAAACATTATATTTTATTTTATAGAGCTTAATGGATCTATTTTTATATACTGCTAAACTTGGGCCATTAGCTTTCTTTAAGGTAAGTTTTATACTTTTGTTTAAGCTTTATATGTACTGCAAAAATATAATGTTACAAAAAACCAATTCAATGTTTAATTTTAGGGGTATGTACCTGCATTTATCAGATTGGCTCCACATACCATTTTTACTTTTGTCTTTCTGGAACAATTGAGAGCTAATTTTGGATTCTATCCTACTACTGTAAAATGATCATAAACATCCGGTGATTAGGTGAAGTATTTATGTAGGAATTGTACAAAACAAATAATTAGCACAAATATGATGAAAATAAGTCACCAAACGTTTGTCCTAACATTGCTAACAGCTATAATTTGAATTATAGCTGTTTTATACTTTGTGAGTTAACTTATCAAGCTCAATAATCCATCCAAATATTTATAAATAATACTTCATGATAATTTCCGAATTATCATTAGTCCAATTTGTTTATAATAATATACATAAATATGCAAAAACCTTGTTACAATAGTTTTAAAATAAATAACACTCATAGAAAAATATTAAATAACTAAATTCAGATAGGACAAACGTTATTCTTTAGATTGAATTTGTTGTTAAATTTATGTGCATGTTACGAACTATCTTGTATAAAATTTTTATATCTTTACATTATCATTTCTTTAAATTTTACCATAATCATATTTGTACAAATGTTAAAGTATATTGATATTTGTAACATTTACAAATTATTATTGTTATGCTAATGATACGCAATTAGCACGTAAATTATTTTACAAAGAGAAAACCAATATTTTTGTTTAGTTTTGTACAACTATATAATTATTAAGAGATTGATATCTCAAATCATTATCGTTTTTTAAGCTTGATATAAAATAGTTTCATAGTGGTTCATACATTCCTAAAAATATCATTATACTTATAATACTATTGTATACAGAGTTATATTTTTTGACATACAACAGTATATTTTCCTTATACAAAACTATTCGTTTTATAAGTGTTGACAAAAAGTCCTTAGAACAAAATATTTTTTTAATTTGTTAAAATGTTATAGAAATTCTATCAAAATAAATTTATCCTGTAGTTATAAATGTATCTGTTGGTTTATATACATTTAAAATAACTGAATATTAAACTACTTAAGGCTTAAATAAGTAATTACATAAAGTTATGTTAAAACATGCACCTATAAATGCAATACTATAAATTTATAATAAAAAAAACAAATTTCAGGAATAACAATTTTCTCAAAATCCTTAGTATTAAATTGTAATTATTTTAACTGGTAATTGAAGTAGTTAAAAAGATCACACTAATAATTTGAAGTAGCATATGACTCTTACTTCGAGACAGAGTGATAAGATGCTTTTTCTATCTTTTTGTTATTAGTGTCAAGAAATTTTAATATGCTTTGATTTATGAAAAAATGCTAAAGGTAAACCATGCTAAAAGGTAATGGAACGGATAAAGGTAACTATATATATCAATATTATAATAATCCAGGAAATGTATTAATACATTAATTGTTAGTTACATTGTTTAATAACATATAAATTTTATTTAATTAAAAAAAATAATACAATACTGTTTTTGTTACATTGTTTACACTGAAACAATATTAGTTGAAAAATATACTAAATGATGGTAAACATAAAGAGTAATGATAATAAAAAGACTACAAAACATTACTAGTCTTCAATCTAATAATTACTTATTGAAATATTTAAAATACCTCTTATCATTACTTCATATCATTAGAATACTTCTTCTACTTTCATTATGGTGCAGAATGAAATACTTACATTCCAAATGTTGTTTTCAAATTCACTATAATATTTTGATAACACTGCAAATGATATTTAGGTTAACTTTTCACTGAAGATTAATATATATAATTACCTTTCATGTTAATATACAAAATATTAATTATATTGAAAATGTGACATAGTAAAAACGTATCACTTGAAAATTACACTAATTTAATTACTATAATATGTAATAATAATATTATAACATAGCCATACACACAAGTATTTACTTACGCACACGTCCGGAAATTCCCGTGATCTTGGAAACGAGTGCCATCTATTTTATTTTAGTACAAAAATATGAAACACATTTGCATCGCAAATACCTTTTATCGGTGCCGTTAAAAATAGACATGTGGAGTCTCATAGTACCTATTGTCACTAATGAAGAGCAAAAGTTTCGTGATTCTTCCGTTAGCCACCCAACGCTGCAATCGTGAAAAATCCAACACGTGTACAACTTATATAGTTGTATTGTACGTACAATATTTAAAAAATAAAAACATAAAAATGGCAGTAAATGGGGATAGAATGATGTGTAATGACTTGTTTCTATTAAATTAAGACAGAATAAACTATTTATAAAAAATGTTCTTTTAACAATATTGTACTGTAAGTACACTATGTCCATTGATTGTACACCCAGTTGCCTATAATCACAGAAAACCGGTTAACCGTGCTGCTGTGTTGGACCACGGCCATGTTTTGTGTCCCATACTGAATACCTTTGAAACCAGTTTGGAGCATCACCTCGATAATATTTATAGGCTTATGGAATGATAATTTCTGTCCATAACGGTACTACGTTAAATATCGTCAGCTTATACTACGCATATGTATATTAGATTTGTGTAAATTAGGTAGTTGGTTCCATATTCTCTTTTCTAACATACACTCGTTTAAGTTTCATACGAAACTTCAGGATCTCAATTTCTATTTAAATTTTGAAATAAACAAAATCGAATAACCACAAACAAATTTTCTCATCTGTTTCATTTCAAAATGTGCATAATTAATTGCGTAACCAGACGAGATGTGTCTGCAATATTTCAATTCATTAAGGATTTGACTTCTATATTTAAATTATAATTGTGTTACAATTGAGTGCGCAAACGAGCGTGCAAACGTTTATCTCATCGATACACTAAAAGTTAAATTTTCTGCGTTAGAGCGAAAAAAGTTGCAATTTGCTAAAGAAGGACGAGGGTTATTTTTTTTTGGAGTACACCATATGTATAAAATCACTCCTTAACATACGCACGTAACACACCCATACTTATTCAATCCGTTTTCACGCTGCTTTCACGTCGCGTGTACCATTGTATGGACCGGCCTTTGTCGTCGGATCACATAAAGGAACTGTTTCTTCAATGGTGGCAGACAAATTACAGAAACGCGTTCTTGACCATCGAAAAGGCGAAAGTGGACACGTGTGTCTTCAGTCGATGATACGAGACAAAATTCTATAGTATCCAGTAAAAATTATGTATAGTAAATTCCATTAAAATCATTGATCAAATATCTTATCTCAATTTCTTTTTATAACAAATAGGATAATGGACTATTTGAGAGATAGGATACTTTGATTTTTCGAAATGGAAACTTCATTAAAATCGAGCCATGGTAATAATGACCAAAGCTTCCTTCGCGTGAATGTATATTGCACGCACCGTCCGTTATTATTGTTTTTCATTGTTATGCTTTTTTTTGTCGAAAGCATTGTTCGACGAAACACTCGTGTTCCGGTTGCGTGTAGATCGTAACTTAACCCTGTATTTAGGCGTGTGTAGTTTGATTCAAAGGAATTTCTGTAGTTGGTACTGTTCACCGCTCACAAGAAGTCTCGCGGGACGGCATAGGGGCAAGAGGGGTCAACGAATGCACTTAAAGAATTCCACAACGAAATATTTTTTAGTGTTTCATTTTTTTATACATCAAATTCTGTCGTGTCCTGAAATATCGTGCCTGTAAGTGCAATAAATACCGGGGTTCTATTGTCTGGCTTTAGCTCATCCGTCGATTTACCACAATGCCGTGGTCAGCTCCTTGTGTCGATCCTCCTTCGTGGTTAAATGTATCGATGGTTCTCTGACCTTCTTTCCTCAAATTACGGCATCGTGAATCGAGCTTGCCAATTCTGGCTGAAGGCGTGTCGAAAATGGCAATCAGTTACTCGAAATCAAATCCGTGGTGAATAGACGTAGGCAGCAATTTATGTCCTGGTTAAGTTAGGTTAGCTGTTGGCACCGGAGGAGAATCTAGCTGTTTTACCAGGAAATTAAATCGTGTTTCTGTGTAACACTAATTGAGAACAAGAAATAAAAATATCGTCCATATGAAATTACTACTTCGTATGTTACTGTTAATTCAGGTAACGCAAGATTCTCGGATCGTGTGGTAAATTCGAGTAAAAATATTGAACGATATAATGAATCGAATCAGGGGCAGGCATTAGCGGTTCAATTTCCGTTCCAAAACATCTACAGGAACTACGATTAATTACTTGCGTTGGTGAACTCGTACACCTTGATTCGATGTCTCGATCAATTAGAACGGACATATGAATTAGGTTTCATATCTTATACTTTGGAAGCTGTTGCAATGGTTACATAGGGAGCATACTTGTTGGCGGCATTTATCGATAACAAGTGATGTATTTACAGCCTCCAGGTTATGTCCATTCGAGTACAGGCTAGACGGGCGTGGAATACACGGGCTAGTATGAACGCAGGATGTGCGCTTGTATTTACAAATCATGGTATGTAGCGTGCGCGTAAAGCCATTCTTAAACTCGCATATCCTTTGCTCTTGGTCTTTTTTACGATCTGTTTAATGATCCTCGCATAACTCTCGCGGAAAACGTGCGCTAACGAATGCAACGAAGAATTTCTCTCGCATTACAGGGAAAAATTATTCGTATCCTCGTCGGACGTGGCAACAGACAGTACCTAAGTTTCTCACTAGTTACCCTTTGTCGGTTGTTATTGAATTATTATTTTGTCGAGTGTAAGGCTGTGTTTTATTTGAAACGTAGGTTTTATGATGGTACGCGCGACTCGTTACTCTTGCGTATAATTTTTTATGAATGTTGGAAATTACATGTTTGTTTCCGGAAAATTACTAGATTTCTTCTTGGTAATCTAAATAATTTTATTATTACCATTATTATTGTTCTTACGTTTTTATTTTTTATAACTATATACATAGAAATGTGATTAGAATATTTGCTTGCAATTTGAACACATGTCTGCCCAATACGGCCATCCGTCAATGGCTACCCTATTTGTTAATTCGCGCTCATTTCGCGAAGCGATAGATGTCGCTTTTATTGAATTTTAACATTTTTTAACATTGTTAAAAGTTTAGAACTTTCCTGTTAGAACTATTAGAACTATTAGAACTTCGGAAATTTGAAACTTTCGAATTTTTAAACTTTGGAATTTTTGAACCTTGGAACCTAGGAATGCTAGAACTTAGGAACGTTGGAATTACGGAACGTCGAAATCGTGGAACTATACATACAACTTTGAAATTTTTTAACCTTTAAATCTTTAATAATTCGATATATTTTTCTAAGAAATAATATAAGACTATAGAAACCTTCGATTCGTTCTTCCATCGACGTAAAAAATACTCAACCCTGAAATACAAAGTTGTACATAATATCGTATTAGAAACACGCGTCCATAGGCATTTCCTCGTTCGCTCATTTGGCTAAGGAAATTTGCATAATCGTGTGTATGGCATCGCAATAGGACGGAAGGGAAAGGAAGGGACACGACGACCTTGCAGATGCGATACGTATGCGACAGGGCTCTCTGAAAAGGCGTAAACGAAGAGAAGCAAAAAAAATCGGAAACGAGATTCAGTTGGACTACGTTCGAACCTCTGTATGTCCATTTCGCGTAGAACATAACCTGCCGGATATTTGCAATTAGTCGCATTCCTTGCAGGGTCGACTGTCGTAGGGATACCTTCATTCGCGTGATAGTTAATTGCCCCCTGTCCCCCTCCCTGTCACAGTGATAATGTAATTTTCAATCTGTTGATTTGCTGGCTTCGATTCGACGACAGAATGAATTTTAATTGAACTCCTTTGATTGACATAACCGAGAAACAGGAAACGTTACATAGGTATTCGAAATATGTATAAATGATTTTTTATCGTGATAGAACATAATCGCGTTGTTAGACCGGTTTTATTTTTTTCGTAACATTTAGTTGTCAGACACATGTTAATTTCACATGTTTCATAATGAAGACGAAGTTGCTCGGTTAATCTAATAAGCAAAGATATTGCAATAAAACTGATTGCGATTCTGAAGAGTAGTTTAGTGACTATCAGATAAATTGGCCAAGTAATTCTGTAATTGGTTTCAGTTTTATTTTCAATAAATGGAAATTAATTTGAACTCTCGTCTTCTGTTATCTAAAAAGCTGATTTTTATTGTTCCAAACCAAAATGGGACTCGACTGAAAACGTGACTGGTATCCAATTACAGGATCCAGTTTATATACGTTATCCACTCTAGTTTCGAAAGCTGTTTATCAAAGTAGCACACTTGTACCTGTTCGAGTAATAATGTTATCAATCATTCTGTAAAATGCTAATTGATTGCGAATGATCTGTAACGAGCAATGTATTTCAGCATCATGATATTTAAATCTTTCCCAATTCTCAGTGTATAAAAGATAATGGTACATGAAATTATCCCAATATCCTCGAAAACGCCTTGAAAATGTCTCTAATAATCCTTGAAAGATGTGGATGATTAATAAATTTTCAAATTTAACAATATGATTGTCAATTGTTTAACTGTTGAATAATTAAAAGAAAAAAATTAAACCCACCTAACCTAACTTAACGTGTTCGGGTTATTTTTAATTTGACCGCGTAGCCATTGGCGTAACTAGGATTTTATTCTAGGGTGGACCAAGGCCCTTAGAAGTTTAGAAATTTTAGAACTGGAATTCTGGAATTTTGGAATTTTGGAGGGGTGCAAATTTTCAATATATCAAAAACGGAGTATTCATTAAATATCCTAATCACATTCCAAATCACCCTATAATCCTTGGAAACCCTCAATGACGAAAATTTTAAACGTGTCGAAAACAGTACTCGATAATACACGAAATCATTAAAAAGTCCTTCAAAAGTCCTACTGTTCTAAATTGTCTTACAGTGATGAGGATAGCGCCCGCACGAGTTGTTATCAGTAATGTCCCAGGGTGCCCCAGCAGCGGGTCTCGTTTCGTCGCCGATAACAGTCGGTCCGCGCATATACCTGCTCACAGCGGGCAGCCAATGAAAGAGCCGGTTCGGCGTCGACCATCTTGCGCGGCTCCGCTTTCGAGTTCGGAGTCGCGTGGCGGTTCGGTTCGGCTTGCAGTGTACGCTGACGGGGCGAGCCGTGACTGACTCTGTTCTGTGCCTCGTGCGTTTCGTGCCTTTCCATTCCGACCGCATCGCCCGTGCCTTTTCTTTCGTCGTTGAAAAACAACGGCGACCCGTGACCATTCA